CGCCAACCAGCCGCCGGGCCCGCCGCCTCCGCCACCGGGACCTCCCGGCGGGCCTGGTCCGGCCGGCCTCATCCCGCCTCCGACGGGGCCGCGCAATCCCAACAACACGCTGGTGGACGAGCTGGAAGCGTCCTTCGAGGTGTGTGTGTGTGTGTGCGGGCGGGGGCGCTGCCTTCACGGTGCCGGGCCTCCCCCCGCCGCGTTCTTACACCCTCACTTCCCTCTCTGACAGGCCTGCTTCGCCTCGCTGGTGAGCCAGGACTACGTGAACGGCACCGACCAGGAGGAGATCCGCACCGGTGAGGCCCTGGGGGCTGAGGGGGGAGTCGCCGCGGTGCCCCGCTCCCCCGGTGCCGCGGCTCGGCTGGGCCTCACGGGAGCCCTGGGTGCCCCACGGCTCTGTTGTGCGGGGTGGGATGCGGAGGGGGCGGCTGGGGTTGCCGATCTACGGCCGACGACCCCTGAAACTAATTGGGAAGAAGTTCCGCAGTGGGAGGACCCCACGGAAAGAGACCCACCCGGGAACGAAATGGGGGGGGCTTGTGGGAAGGTCCCGAGTGCCAGCCGGCTCCTGGGGTTATTAAGGTGCAATTAAAGATGTGGTTCGAAAACTAGGAAGGTAATGTGATGCACCACGAAGCCGTATGGAGCAATAATGAAAGCTGGGAAAGGGAAGCCGAGATTGCTTAGTTCCACAAATAGTTCTGTTGCTTTTTGTCGTTGTCAAAGGTGTCATAGAACTTGGGGAAAAAAGAGTGTCTTGCACCTTTAAAAGAAGCTCTGAACGTTTACAAAGCGTTTTATGCAGTGACTTAATCTTGGTTTTATAAATGCATCATTTTAGTAGAAAATCTTTAGCAAAGATTTTCTTTCTAAAAAGTACTGTGAAAAGTGTTTTTAACAGCATGCAGGCAACTACCAGTATCAGCCCGGTAACTGCTGGTTTGGAACGTGTTCTTTCCATGTTTTTATTTTACGTTCAGGTGTTGATCAGTGCATCCAGAAGTTTCTGGATGTTGCAAGACAAACCGAATGCTTTTTTCTACAAAAACGACTCCAGCTCTCAGTCCAGAAACCAGAGCAAGTAATTAAAGAGGTATGGTTAAATTAATTTACCTGTTGTCATGGTAACCAGGACACACCTGTGCTGTGCTAGATCAGATACGCTGTGTACCAGCACAGTTAATCACCTCCTTCATCTTAATTTGGGGTTTCTGCACATGCTGCTCTATCTTGTGAATGCTGTCTATTTACTAATACACCTTTTTTCATCCATAGGATGTTTCAGAATTAAGGAATGAATTGCAGAGAAAAGAAGCATTAATTCAGAAGCATTTGGGCAAACTGCGACACTGGCAGCAGGTGCTGGAAGACATCAGCGTGCAGCACAAAAAGCCTGCAGAGATGCCCCAGGGTCCATTGGCGTACCTGGAACAAGCATCTGCCAATATTCCTGCTCCAATGAAGCAAACGTGATCTCTTGACTTCCCATCCCTGAATATTTTCAGCAATGCGAAGCAGTGGGTGTTCTTTTTACTTTGTATGCTTTTTGTATAATGTAATTTGTACTACAAATATATAAATAGTTAAGACAATTAAAATATTTTTTTTTCTTTTTTTTTTTTTCCAAAAAATATGGATTGGTTTTATATTTCCCTGGAAGATATGCAGAGTTGCTACTCAGGATACTGTCTGGTCCAGAATGCATCCTTTCTTCTAGGCAGGGTGGCCCTAGATTGCCCCTAACTATATCTTTGCCGGTGTGATGAAAATATTTGCAGAGATTACTCTTTGCTTTAACTGAAAGATTGAAATGTTTTGTGCTCCAGTAATTATCCATAAGTATCACTGTAGAAACACTCTTAGAATTCTAAGTCCAATCAAGACTGTACTTTTTTGAAGTGAGTTGTTCATCTCCACTGGACTTCTCACCTTGTGAAGGGGTCTCGGGATATACAAATTTGATTTTTAATTGAGTGAATGAAATGGATTAATTCAATGGATGAACTGAAACTGCACAGTGCAGACCCCTGGGGGTGTACATAACGCAGGCCCTGTCTGCAGCAGACACCACTTCCTGGTGTTCTGTCTGTCAGGCTGGTGTAGTGATGGTCCAAAATACCTATCCCCAAAATAAAGACCATTCATTGTGGATGTTGGGTCACCAGTGCTGTCTAGCCTACAGAATTAGCTCCTTCTGGGGTGTGCTATTTAGCAATCTAAATGTAATAAAAAAAAAAAAGATTTAGGAGGTAAAAATAGCAAAGGAATTCTGTCTCTGTATTACTAGGCCACAAGCTTAATTCATCCATGTAGCCAGGGAAGCCGTTTTCTAGGGACACCATTTTGGGGACAGAGTTAATTAGAATATTGTAACCCTCGAAATTAGAATTAGTAATTGTATATTGAACTTCCTACTACGCTTTAGAAGTTTTTGGGGCAGAGTGGATGAAAACTAAACACTCAGCCTTACACGTTTCTGATGATCTCACAGATACTAAGGCGCTCCTCAGCGTTAATTATTGTACACCACTTTATCCGCTTCTTGATTGCTTGTATAAAAAGTGTCTTTTTGCCAAATCTGATACAAAAGTCTTCCAAATCAAGCAGTTCACCTTGGAAAAAATACTAATCAGCTGGGATGGAAGTACTGGCCCGTAGAAGCATCCTGCCCCTTCTGCCACCTTTTAGCTATGGCTGAGGTGTGGTGGTGGTTGTGCACTAAGTGCCTGGAGCTGTTGGTACAGTTCCTGCTGGCTGTTTGGCACAAGAAGAGGTTCGGCTGGAGCTGTGACTCCCTGCACATGTAAAATTTGTCAGGTAGCTGGGCCCTGCTGGTTGAAATTAAACGGGTGTTCAAATCAATCATAGCACCTGAAGATGATTCTGTCTTAAACACTAGGCTGCTGCTTGCACAATTCCCTGCCTTTCACATTTGTTGATGAATCACCTGAGGGTTCATTTCCTCATGGAAATGTCTTTCATGGGTGTCTTTCCTCCCAGTGATGATCGTTTCTTCATGGGTGTCTTTCCTCCCAGTGATGATCTGATCAATACAGTCATCCGCCCACTTCGTGTTTTGGTGGGCTTAAGGACAATATTGAGATAAAATGTGCAACCAGGCAGTTCCAATAAATCTGGAACTTGGTGTATCTGACTCACACTTCAGCATAACATAGCACTGTTTTGCAAAACATGGAAATGGAGGATTTACAAGCAAGTTTTAATGTTCATACTTACATAATAATCTGATTTATCAGGCTGATTGTTACATGTATTGAAGTGCAATAGGAATATTATATTGCAATGCTGACTATACAAAACAGTTTATTGAGCAAACCAGAAAGTTTCTAAACCAGCTTGCTATAAACATGCGTTTCTTGGAGGTATACCACATGCTGTACAGCTTAAAGTAAGTTTAACAAAAAACCTATTAAAAACTTTAAAAATTACATCACTATATGCAGGAATTAGTTTAAACAGCTGATGAAGCAAATGTATAAACCTACAGAAATGGCCTAGAGAAGATCTTTTTTTCAGCTGGAGCCAGATTGACATACTGGAGACCAAATTGCATATTTAATGTGACTGTGGAGTGGTACAGTCTCTTAATTAAAAAGTCTCTTAACATAACAATATCCAGAATTTTACTTTTTCTTCGTTTTTTACAGAGGTTGTTACAAAATATTTATTTTTCTGAAATCCACGACTGTAACTCCATAGTAATTAGATGTAAGAGAGTACAGTTGTTCTTAATTAATCTACTTGGAAATTACTTTTTTTTTCATATCATATATTGGATTATCATTCCCTAAAATAAAAAAGGAACAGCTTTTCTAGCAATTCTGAGAAGTATGGAAATAGTTTGCTTTAAAATGAAAAATATTTAGTAAACCATTCTTGATGCTGAGGGTCTTGGGTTTGGTCATCTTTGGTTTTTTGGGGTTCGTTGCCTTGAGTCCTGTGCAAACAAAAAAGATTAGCATCACTCATTTACTTACTTACAATCTTACTGATATTTAATACTTTTTTTCCCCTGGAAAAACTCATGATCCTATGAATGGATCTGTGCATTTACATTAATTCTGGTTAGTTTATAGTAGCAAATATGACTTCATTTATGATGATTTTAAAAAGTAAGTAGCAGGCAAGCTACCCTCAGTCTCCCTGTACGTTCCCTTTAAAATACAAATGTGCTTTGCCTGGCAGTCTTCTGCGACACAGAGCGCTTTTATCTTTAAGATGTAGGAATTGCCAAACTGGATCTGAGCCCGTGTCCTGGGTTATCGTCCCTGGCAGCAGGAAGCACCATCTGCCTTCAAGGGAAGAACTCCCCAGCACACAGCTTCCAGGATCACTCACCTCCACTAGGAGATCAGTGAGAAGGCTGGCTGTTGTCCTCAAGTAGAGTGGTCTTTTTAAATATTTATCATTGTAACTATAATGTTAACTACATACATTTTTAACTATTTCTTGAAGAGATAGTTCAATCATATTTATGAAACACTAAACATTCAGATAACTCATAAATTGGAAGAAAAATTCAAGATTTTCAGAGAAAAATCATCAAACTAAGAAGTTTTTAGTTAAATATCTGCTAATCAATTTTAAGTGTCTATAACTTTTGCCAAATGATTAGACTAGATTCATTCAAATATCTCCTAACAGGAAAATATGCAATCTACATCCACCAAGTGCAAAGTGAGGAAACAGAAGTAAGAAGAAAAACACATCCTTAACAGAACCACTGATACGGGCCTGCAGTTTTAAACAGCCACGTTCACCATTCACCACGTTCTTAATTAAATACTTGCAACTCCTCTCTTTTTTTTTTTGCAATCCTAATCTCTGCTGGGCAGTGATTATAGCCTACTTCTGCAGTAAAGTTCTGGGTCTCTCTGCAGAGAATTGAAGACATGGAGTCCACTGCACAACAGGAACCTTGTATCATTGTTTATTTCCCAATGTCTAATGTGTTTAAATTGCCTACAAGATTCTGAAAACCATATATCATCTTACAAGTCACTGCAAAACGGACAAATACCTTGTGGCAGTGCTGCTGTCTGAGGACTGTGCTGATGGAGAGCCCACGCTGAGGCCGCCAGGACTCCGGTCTAAGCTCGTAGATTTGGTTATTTGAGGAGCATTTCTTTTGGATCTCAAATCGCAGCTCAAAAAGCTCTTTGCGTAGGCAGCTAAATTTGGCACACTGACAACACGACTGGGCACCTCAGCCGTTTTCTTCTGCTGCTTTTTATTGTAACAGAAAAATTCATTACACGCACACACACATTATTTTTTTTCACACTTTATACTGTAAAACCTCAACAATACCTCATTCATAGATACCTTGTGAGGAGCACCCAAAAATGAAGTTTCTCATCTTTTCCTATAGGTATAAATTCTCAGGGTATGCTGTGAGGATCCATGGATTAGGCAGTCCAATTAAAACAACTCCAGTATTTGACCCTGAGGTTTTAGGTACATCAAAGCTGACAGCTTTGCAGAGCTCAGTTAGGTGCTTTCCACCAACCTGACCTCCCTTCATTCCATGAATATTTATAGACGGTATCATATAGAGGGGCTGGAATGACAAAGGGCAAATCCTGAGCAGCCCAAACACAATTAATAATTTTCCTGGATGCATGCAATATCCCAAATAGCAGTTCCCAAATCTGCAAGCAACAGCTGTGCTTAACCCAGTGGAAGACTGAGGTCTTTGGAGTTGTAGTGTTTTCTATTTGCTTAAACACTTGAATCTATGTGCATATATATTTCTACTGAATTTAAGTTCTACTCAACAACTGACTATAGGTTGTCTTACTGGAAAGAATTCTACTGAATAACATAACCATAAAAAATTAATAGGACCTTTATTGTCCTGATCACCTGTATGATTCAAATAACAATAAAACATCATGATTTGCGATTTTAATCATATTGCCCATCTTACCTTCATGGAAGGAGTCAAGCAGCCCGTATTGGGGTTGAAAGAAAATGATCGATTCCTGTAAGATTCAGTGTTGGCTAGAAGTGAATGCTGAAATTTTCTTCCTTCCTGAGAGGAAAGAAAAGTCATGTGTATGGAGACATCTATTTGTTGGAAGTTGGTATGGAAACATATATTTATTAAAATATTCCAGAATAGAAAGGATCAGTGTGAAGCAATGTGTGAAACACTGAATAGAGCCTTCCAAAAGATAAAAAAAAAAAAGATATATATATAATACATATATATATATAAGGAAATCTTACCACCAGCTGCTTGATAATTTCTTCTTTCTCACTTAATTTGTCTTGCAGACAGCTTATAAGATGTGTGTCTTCTGATCTGGACTCCCACTTTCTTGACTTTTCTTCTAGTTCTTTAAGTCTGTACCAAAGAAAATGCAGAGCGGAAAAATCTTCCTCAGACCAGGTTCAATAGATACTTGGGTTGCCCTCTGCCCTAAATTCCAAGCCTAAAATACAGGGACATAGTCAGTTCTTTCTGATAAAACAGCATTGTTTTTCAAAACAGGGATCTGTATATGGATTACATATAAGTACAGAATGTTGTGGAGTTCCAAAATAAATTGCCACTAAGGTGTTTAACTCACAACAGCTGTCCAGTGTAAAATCAAGCCCCCGCTGTAAAAGACTAACAAGCTTCCACATCACATTGCTAGTCTAGTTTCCTAAAGAAAGAAAAGGCTGTGTCACAGTTCCTATGCATGTCTGTATTCATCTATTTGTTCTCTTTTCTGGCTCAATAACTCTAGAATCCACAGGCTAATCCCAACCATATTTGCTAGAGGCCTCAGAAATACTCACTTCCTGTAACTTTCATGAAAAGAAAAGGTTGGATATATATTCTGCGTTAGCGATCCCTCTAAGTCAAAACCTCTAGTGCCAGTTCAGCTCTTTAAATGCCTTAATCAGAGGAAAAGATTCAAATGAGAACTTACACCTTCTCAGAGATGGTGTGGAAACATACATTTGATTGACCCATCAGAAAAGAAGTCAGTATTTCATCAGCCCAGTTCATGAATTTTGCTGCTTAAGAAACCAAGCGCTATGAAGTTCACCTGCCCTACTGATAAATGTATTACAGAATACAAACCACCATTTTTGTTGAGGGTAAACATTTTTGAGAGGACCTCCCCCTCCCATTTTGTGTACCTCAGAGTTTAGATAAAAAGATAAATCTTAGCATCTGAATGGTTTGAGACCTGCTTACATGCAAGTAGGTCTCTCTTCTGGAGCTATGCCACACAGTTGGGATAAAAGGACAATCTCTGTGGTATATGTAACCACAGAGATTATTTCTGAGGGGCTTCTCCTGTGCAGTCTGAAGCATTACAGAACTACTCACCTCCACAGGGGGCTGCAAAGTGCATTTATTGACATGAGTTAGTGGGGGCTGTCCTGCAAAATTTGCAAGGGAGTGAGAATGAGCAAGAAGCTGCTCTGCTGAACAAAATGAAGTACAAGATCATGGATCGAGGCCTCTGGTGTCATCTGTGACAAAGATGATTTTACACTTTGCAATCAAATTACAAGATGCTACGTACAGATTCGAGTTTGGCATTGTAAAATTTTATGTATAGTGCTTTACATTAAACAATATTCAGCATTTATTACGATATAACTGTGTCTTTCAGTGCTTGCAAAGGAAATACCTATACACTTCCATTTCAGTGCTTATAATATTCTACCTATGAGTAATAAAAAAATGACACATACTAAGAATAATAATTTCAAACAGAACTCATTGCCATTATGGGCCAGAGTTTATTTAAATTACTTAGTTTCTAAGGAGAAAATCTCTGCTTGGAGATGTGCCTAAGTGCTGCTGAAATCAGATAATATATTTTCACTCTCCTTCCAGTGATCTTGTTTCAGTACGTCCAGTTCTTTTTTATGCTTGACATTGAGGTCTTCTACCAGTAGCTTTTCATGGGTATTAAAAGATGTCTGAATTCTTACGTTTTAATACTAGTTTATTGTCGCTGATCAAAGCACACAGTTTTGAGGTCTCTCGTTGACTACAAAGCTCATTAATTGGGCACAGCACTGGGCTTCTGCTTACTGATTTGACTTGGACTCTTCAGTTGCAATCAGAAGCAGACCCCGCTAACACCGAGGAAAGTGATTTGGAGAAGTACGTGATGTTCAGCCTTCAGGAAATGGAGGGTCTATTCTATATAATGATGCTGTTGATATCCTGTCTGTGGTTGGTTTGTACATCAATCTTAACGGTCAAACATGACAATAAAGTACCATAGGAACTCACTTGCATTAAGCAAAATTATTTTGAAATCTCTGGAATTTTAATATGAGGCTCTGATGCTATATTTCATTACATCATGGCACCAGAAACATTTAATACTACCACCTACCACCATCCGAAAAATACATTTTTTAAAAGTGAAGGTAAGAACTGTTGTAACAATGCCTTTAACTACAGCATTTGTCTTTAACAGACAATGTATTTTGAAAGATAGCACTATTTGATTAACACCACCAATTGAAAACTAAAAATTGCCTAATATTTTTTCAAGCCTAGTCCTAACATTGCTTTCTGATACCAACACCAAAATCAATAGCCATCTGTTGAAGACATCAGCAAATTAACAATTTTAATTTTCACAAAAGATATTCAGCTTATATTTTTTTCATTTTTTTTTAATGTATTTCAAAGGCCCTTTTGTTTGTTTCTGAATTGCTTCAGGAAAGGAAAAAAAGGACCATGAAAGGATTCTGCCCTTGAAATTATTTGAAATTAGAGCACAACCATGGGAATGATTGATTTGGCACAAAATAAGAAGCAGAAGAATAAGAGTAAAAACGGGAGCAGAATCCTTGAAATAGGTCTTCAGGGTTAGAATAAAAGCTTTCCTTCAGAATAGTCATTCTGGGACTTGTACTCTCTTCCCATAAAAAAACCCATTGTCTGCTCTTATCCTACTCCTTGCAAAAGGTTTCTCTACTGGAGGTTGAATTCACACAAGTCAAAAGAATGGAAATGGGAATGACTACTTCAAGCAGATTACTGGTTTTACTTACTTGGTAACAGCAAGAATAGTGATTTTAAATAATTGGTTACAAAAAATTGGCACATGCAAATAACAAGCCACTCTAACCTTTAAACCAGAAACAACTATCTAGCATAAGACAAGGTCACTGTGATTAAAGTAACAGAAAAAACCTGTTATTTGTATGCACTCACCAGTTTAACTATTCCCCTATGCAAATTATTTGTCCTGCAAAAGCAAAATAAGAGCTGGGAGATAATGTTCCAGATCTTCCATGGGTTAATTTCAGAGGAGCCTGTATCAGGTGCCTAGGACCATCTGAGCTCTTTGGTTCTACCTCCTGTTATTTGAAGGATTTCTCCTTACGTAATTTCCATTAATGCTTCCCTCTCAAATGCTTACTGTAGTAGAGCTACACCGTCTATCCCCTGTAAAGATTATCCTCCAGCCCAGCAGCTTTAGCATTTGAGGCCTTTTAGACCTCATCACTGACATGTGAATAATTCCTCTCTTCATGAACAGAGGCTCTGAATTCCTTCAAGGTAGCTGGAGGGCACTGATGAAACTCTCTGGTTTGCAATTCTTTCTGTTGATCTTGCTTCAAAAGCTTGAAATGAAAGTCACTTTCAAGTAACTCTCCGAAGAGTGCAAGGGGAAAAAAAAAAAAAAGAAAAAAAGTTTCTTTCTTATTCTTTAAATACCTACTGACTGGTAGACAGCAGCAGAATTACTCTGGCCACTCTGACAATCTGCTGAGGGACACTGCATCCCTTGAGTGCTTTCCTCTAGACTATACAAGACATAATTTTAAAGATTCCTTTAAGGGTATACTCTTCAGAAATGCTTCATATATACAGCTTGAGTAGTTAGAGGCATAC